AAGCTGCACAGACCTGTTTGCCCCATTTGCTGGTTTTAATCAATTACGTTTGCTTGCTTTTTTATGATATGACAATTGTAAGACTGGACTCTAACCTGCCAAAAACTGCACGTTTGATAATGACTGTACAGATAGTGACGTATAATCCTCTCTTCAATCCAATCGTATATGGACTGAGGATGAAGGAAATTTCCAGACATTTGAAGGAAATTGTTTTCAGGAGCAAAAAGTAAATGTCTGTAATATTTGCTAATGGAACGGTAATGAAGGGACATAAGTGCCTGCTGTAGAACACTCTTGAATATTAGAAGTGTGATCATGTGATTTGTGTGTACTTTTTATTTAAAATTCATCACAAATTCAACGTAGTGAGGAATAATCCTCTTTTCATTCCAATCATATTGGACTAAAGACGAAAGAAAGTTCCAGACACTTGAAAAAAATTGTTTTGATGAGCCAAAAATAAATGTGTGTAACACCTGCTACTGTTACAGTAATGAAGAGACATGAAGGCCTGCTGTGTAATATTAATATATTGAAGATTAGCTTTTTAATAGTGTGATTTGTGAGTATTTTTTATTCCAAATTCTTCATGATGTAAGCTGTGTCTATATCTGTCATTTGTATGTTATCCTCTTTTTAATGAACTGAAAACTAAAGAAATATCTTAACACCCAAAATAGTTTTTTTTTCTAAAAGAAATTCTAACTATGCCTGAAGACATGCGATTCCTCTAAGATATCATCTTATTTAAAAGTCATCATTTGGATGCCATTTAGCTATAATTATGCAACATAAGCCAACAAGCTGTTTTCAGTTGCATTAGGCTCTCTTGTAACTTTTCATGATTTTTCTTTATAAATCACTGGTTGTTTGGATAAAAAAATATTCTTGAAATATGTCATTTTGTAGAACAACACAGTGATATTTGAGAAGTAAAATAAAGTTATTAGGATTCATAGAAAATGAGCATGAGTCGTTTAAGCAGGGCAGGTGCATAGATTTAGGCACCACAACAAAAACAGAATGAACCAATCACAACTGGCCTCCTTAAATGGCATTTTGCATAATTGGATTCACTTGTGTATAGAGGTCAAAGGTCACTGAGTTTACAAATCCAATTCTAGATTGCTATAATCAGTTCTAAAGGTATTTAAATAAATACAATTATGTTGATACCTAAATTTATGCACAAGATTAATTTTCTTTAATGAATGCCCATTTTCTGTAAATCCTTGAAACTTTATTTCACGTCTCAAGTATCACTGTGTTGTTCTGCTATATGATATATTCAACTTTTTTTTTTTAATCCAAACAACCAATGAGAAAACATGAAAAATATCAAGGGTGCCCAAACTTTTTCAAATCAGTGTATCTTCATGGTATTCAACAGGATAAATCCAGTTTTTGAGCCACTGAATCTTTTGTTTATGAGGCCAGACCA